ATATCCCATACCTGGCCATTGTCAGTCATTTCTGTGACTTAGCTGCTGGTCGTGTGTAGTTCTGCCTTTTCCAGCTGATCCAGATGTTCACAGAATTCTGGACTCCTACAAATAAAGCTTTAAACACTGGCATCTTTCGTTTGTTTCCCACTAGCATGTTTAGGCTACTCTTCAGTGTTTGTCTTCTTTCGGTTGTGAAACCCTGTGCTTCACCCTGGCTGCCCTGACTTGGAGTCACTCGTAAAGAGTGTAAGCAAAACATCCTCAAAAGCCTGTGGTCTCTTCTGGCTTCAGCTTTTTAGTCTGTCATGGATGAATCTTCAGGCTCCTTGTTCTTCTTGCAGGACAGCATTCCATCGAGTTTCCTACCTGGCTTCTGTCTATGGCAGCTTCTGGTTTTGGGGTGCTCCTTCAGTGAACCAGTATTTGGAGTTTGGTGTTATAAGGATGCCATTTGTAATTGCGTTTTGTAATTATGTCACTAGCCTAAGGGAAGAGAATTGACAGCACCAGTCTGCTTCATGCTGGCCATCACATGGGACTTGAATAGAAATTTTTTTTTTGCTGAGTTTGGGGGTTTTTTTGATTGATATTAAGGCTTGTGTCTATTCCCAGCATCTCCCTTGTGCTCTGAACTTTGGAGTTTTCTTGGTTCTGAAGTTCTGATTCTAATGCTGTATCTGGCCAGTTTCTGGTGTTATGTTTAAAAGCTGTCACTGTGCTTTGGTTTTGAAAATTAGAGACTTATGTAGTGTCTTGAAGTGTGGGAGTTGTCACTGCAGGGGATTACATCAGTTCCTTTTGTCTTGTGGTTATTTGTGTAATATGCTGTAGCTCTTTTGTTCTATTTATGGATTTTAACAGTTCTTTGTTGTTGTTTTAAAATTTCTGTATGTATGCTTCTTTCATGTTTTTTTGGCAGATCATATAATTATTTATGATTTGCACCTGTATGATTGACAGCTATGGGTTACCTGTCCGGTAACCTGGCTACTTTATCAGACTCTGACTGGTTTCACTCTCTCTCTCTGGAGCCCTTGCTGCCTTGTGAATCAGCTGAATGAGTTATTGGTTGGATTTGCATTTTATGAAGAGAGGGAAGGCAATTGGGATGGTAGAGATGGAGGGAGGAAGAAATTACCATTTGTCAGACACAGCCTGAAGCTTTTGTTGGGCTGACAGTAATATTCAAGACATCTATCAAGTTTTCCATGCGGCTCAGAACTCACTGTTGAACGATGAACTTACAGGTGTGCAAGAGCTGTTTTATGAACTCTTCACAGAAAATATATCTTTTAATATATGTTTTCATTTATGGATTAATTTTTATGATATAAATCTCATCTAACATGCCTATTGCAGTGAATTCAGTAGGAAATAACTTGTTCGGGAAAAATTACTACTTTGAAGTTTTAATTAATTCTAACAAAATGTTTCAGCGTATCTCCCTGCATGTGGGAACTGAGTAGTGGAAGTTTCCTGAGGATTTCAATATGAATTGTCGGCACTCGCTGCTACCCTGAATGAAAACCTGTAAATGTGAGGTTGAGAAATTACAAATATCTGTACTGTTCTATGTAGTACTCAATTTTTTTTTTAAGGAGTGAGAATCAGTCTAAGTTTGCTTAGAGTAGTGAAGTATGCAAAGTGATAAAAGAAAACTTCATGCTTCTGATCTTTGAGGAGGCAGAAACGTAAAGAAGATAGCTATTATTAAAATATAGCCAACTGTGCAGTACAGTGGCATAGCCCTTCGGCTTCTTTAGTAAATGATTTTAAGTCCCCTGATCTTTCTTGATGGAATAATTTTTTTCAGTCCTTGTATCAGCTGTGTATCAGCTCGTTGGCTTGCACAGTGTGCTTATCCAAAAGATGGCCTTTAGCAAAAAGTGTTGACCTCTCCGTATGTCTTTGTGTATCTCTCTAACTAGTTAATTTTCTTCCTTCTTCTTCCCAGTGAAACCCGAAGAACTTTATGCTTTCTCTTACAATCCTAAAATGTCTAAAGAGAACCGGGAGATTGGATGGAAGCTGATTGATTTGAAAGTGGATTACCAGCGTATGGGAATTCCAAACAACTATTGGGAAATAACTGATGTTAATAAAGACTATGAGGTAATTCTTGCCCAAAGTAGCCATTTAATGCAGTATCTCTTCTTTGTTATTAATGACATACAGCAGTCCTTCCACTGCTGCATAAGTGATGCCTCTGGGGAGGAATGAGCTCAGTTGGTTTTAATCGAAGCAGCATCGTCTTGATGTGAAGTTGCGGATAATGATGCTGTGGAAAAACAGAACAGAGCTGCAGAGTCACCTTGGTTTGCTTTGATCTCCCTGGCAAAGTACCAGACACTTGGTTTTCTAGAGAAACGTCAAACCATCTGTTACGAAAAACTTGAAGTACCCTTAGCTGCTTTCGGTATTTCCAAACCCTGTCCCACCAGGCTGGTGACAGATGTGTAGAAGAGAAATAAATGGCAGCGGTTTGGCTTGGTGGGGAATGAGGCAGAGTGGAAAGGGACTAGGTAAGGAAGGAAAAAACAGTAACCGAAAACAGACCTTTTTTTTCTTGCTTGGTTGGATCTTTTGCTACGTAAGGGCTCTCAGTCATTTCAGTGCTAACTGGTTGCTGCTGTTATTTTCTTCTCTTTCTCCCCTGTAAGGCCACGTTGGATCCAAACAGCATTAAATGAAAGCATTTTCAGGAAGCTTATTCAAACTCCTGTTTCATATTATTTCCCTTTTTATTTCTTCTGATGTTGTGTACAGTCAGATCTTTCTGTCTAAAAGACAAAGCAAACTACTCTGAGGAAGATACCAATATATTAAATCTTTAATCCCTTTCCCCTGCTCTCCGCTCCCTTCCCCCACTAGTTTTCTTTACTGTTACGCTTTGGGTTGAAGAAATACAAGCCTGTGCTGTCAGAAATGACTGGTAATTTTAAATGACTGTATCTTTGGACGCCTGAATTGAGATATGATGTGAGGGGTACTTTTCCCATTAGCTGATTAGGGCATCTGAATGTGAGCATCTAAAATCATTAATCGCTTTGAAGCTTTACTTGCTAGTATGTAACTCTCAAGTGCCAATGCTTTATAATTTCCTCACATTTTCCAGCTTATGTTTTAAAATTGTCAAGCCTCACGTAAAGCCAGACTTGGAGAATAGCTTATCTGTGAAGTACGTGCTGAAAAGACTGTACTTGTTTGAGGAAAAAGGATAAAGCTGGTCTCTGAGGATGCTGTCTGATTGCTGGAAGCTCGTTTCAATTTGCATAAGATTTAGAGGGAACTTTTCTCTTTTTGTGAAAAATCAGAAACTTTCATAAAATTTATGGATTTAAAGAACTTCTTTTTAAGGTGTATTGTGTACTGTGCAGTCCACTTTTTTTTTTTAGGTTCGATTGCAAAATCGATTGTTTCCTTCACCACATTGTTTTATTTTACCCCTATTCCTGTGTTGTTTTTCTAAATGCATCTTAATGGCTTGAAACTTTAGATGTCGACTACATTAGATACACTATGGCAAACAATCTGTTCCTGTTGTTTATAAATGCTAGATCATAAGCTAAAGATGAACTTTTCATGAATTTTGAATTGCTAAGTAGTAATATCTGGATTTTTTTTCTTTCTTCTCGCTTAGGTTTGCAACACATACCCTCCAGAAATAGTGGTGCCTAGAGCTGCCAATAAGGCAGTGGTGGTCGGAAGTTCAAGGTTCAGAAGCAGAGGGCGGATTCCGGTGCTTTCTTACTTATATAAAGGAAACAATGTTAGTTGTTCATTGTCTGCTGTCTTTGTGGGGAGTAAGGGTTCTCCTTCTTGTCCAGTCCCCTTTTAGTGAAAGGAAAGAATGAGATAATTATTAGAGCATATTAAGTTCACGTTTGAGAGCTGTGCTTCTCTTAATGGCTTTAATATTGGTTTGTTCTGAGTCACAGAATAAGCTAGTTAAAGACACACACTTGGGACACGTCCAGAGCTGTGCTAAAAGCACAAACTTCCCAAGCTTCCTGTCTGGAATTTTTTTTTGACCAGCTTTCAGCAATGCCTTGTTGGCATTGGGTTTTTTTCATCTACTGTTAGCTATATTGAATAATGTTTTAACAAGATACACGTTAACTCAGCTAGATTTTCTTAGCATTGAAGAGGAGGAACCACAGTGAAATAAATCCCCGCTAGCTCAGAACAAGTGAAGGTTTCGGGGTTTTTTTTTTTCCACTGAAGACCAGAATGTAAATTTTTAACTTTGCTGTCTCAGCAGTGTTTTAGATGCAGATGTTAGGAAAATGCTGTCACAGTCAAATTGTTTTCCTGAGGAAGCGTGCCTTGACCTGGGCAACTGTATGGAGTTGTGCTGGCAACTATTGAAATGCATATTGAGTATGAAAGCATACTCAGTGCAGTTCTGAGCGTGGAACGATAACAACTGATAAGCAAAGTTGTGGAAAAGAATGGTTTGGACAATAGAAACCAAGTAGAAAACATGGGAAATGCTAACGTTTGGGATACTGATCATCAGGCAGAGCATAGTGGGTTTGAGAACATAGCAATGACGTTTGCAGCAGGGCTCCTTAGCTTCACTACTTTCTTAAGATTCCCAAACTTCTAGCTTTGAGAAGTATTCCAGTAGTATTTCTGCATGTCCATTTATGTAGCAGTTTTTCAGTGAAACAGAGGACACTTAAAACCAACAAATTAGCGTTCTTTGGGGCAGCGCGGTAGAGACGATCTGAAAGCAGAAAAATGTGAGCTGTTGTGTGTTGCAGGCTGCCATATGTCGTTGTAGCCAGCCTCTCTCCGGGTTCAGTGCGCGCTGTCTGGAGGATGAACAAATGCTGCAGGCGATCAGAGAAGCCAACCCTGGGAGCCCCTTCATGTATGTTGTAGACACAAGGCCAAAGGTATCTTCATGGGGTTTGTGGCTACTTTTAAAGCTTGCGTCTGAATTAGTAATGCTGTTTCCAGTTGATTCTTTCACAACTCTGCTCATGTGTTCTTACGCTGCTTTAGGTTAAATTGTGTCAGTTCTGAATCGGGAATTCAGTATCAGGCTCCTGGTTCGGTGTCTTAATATGACGAATGCTTGTGCATAATAAAACTGTGATGTTAAGTGCTGTTAAGAATGCTTGCACTCCTGGTGTATTCTGGGTTGAGGTTTGTGTTAAGGATGACCCGAAGCAACTGGCAGTCTTGAAGCTGGCTGAGACAGTGAAGCATTTTCCCACAGAGGGCTAGGTCCTTAATATGCTGAGTTGGAGAGAAGCCTTAGGATTCAGTTGCACGAGGCTGAAGTGCTTTTATCAGTAGACCTGGGAAGAAGTGGGGCTGTATGGAGTCTGATAACAATTGAGAAAAGCAATTCCTCCATTTTTTTTGCCTTTGTAAAAAGAACACAAATGTTTTCATGCTGCGCAGCTTGGAGTTTAATGCAGTTCAGCTCTTCTGGTCCGTAGCCACTATTTGGGGCTAGAACTTTGTTGCTGAGGTATTTATGTAAGAGGATATTGAAGAGACATTCGCAAAATGAAATCTCTAATGACTGTTGTCTTGAACTGAATTTAGAAACCAATTCAAATCATTGTCTTGTAAGCATATTGATGGGAGTGTCGGTATAAGCAAATTAGAACACAGGATTTTCATAGTACACAATCATTTAAACACAAAGATTTGAAAGTGCTCTGATTATTTTAAAATTGAGCTTTCTGAGAACCTGCTTCACTGTTCAGATATTGCAGTTATTTTATACAAACTACAGATGTAGTTAAACTATGGCAAAGGCAAGAAGGGAAAAAGTCTTTGTGGGAAAATGGCATGTTTCACCTGTTGTTCCAAGATGTATTTTGGCTTTTTGTAGTATGACATTTCCTAGAGAAAACCTATTCTGTAATTATATGTATGTTTATAGCAATCACTGCATGTTCTTTTGGTACAGACAGCTTCCAGTATCATAGATGTTCCACTGAAATCTATCATTGATGGCAATTTTGTTCTAAAGTATTTGGTGAAAAAGGGAGAGTTTATAATTTGTCACATTTCTCCTTCTAACACAACATCTTACTCTAAATGGTAGAACTGAAGCACTAGGGCTGTTGGGTTGTTCTAAAGATCTATATACCGTATCTGAGACTTCCTTCTCTCCTCTCTACAGAGATAAATCACTTCTCTTCCCAAATTAATATGTGGGGGGTTGAGGTGCTCTTTTTTTTTTTTTTTTTTGCTTGCTGCTAAAGATTCTCTGGTAGCTCTTGAACTGTTTTGGGTAATTGTTAGAGCAACTGGCTTCTTTTCTACTTCTTTTCTGCAGTTCCAGTTGGTTGCTGTATTCTTTCTGCTCAACTTTAATATTTCTATGTTTCCCTCAGGTGGCTTTATTTCATCTGTGCATGTATGTCTGTGAAAAGCTTTGGAATTCTCTTACTATTTCTATACCACCATGTATGTATGTTACTCGTAAAAATGGCTTTCCTAGTTTTACTTTTGTATGCTTCTGTCTGAATCTTTTTATGTAGCTTCACAGTTAAGGCAGACTCAATGCCTCTTTACCTGTTTTGATGACAGCAGTATTCTGAAATTGGGCACGGTTTTGATACTGCCTACCCTAAGAAATTCTGTCCAGGATCTTAATGAGTCTCTGCCTATGACTAATGGACTGGAGACACTGGCATAATTTTAGTGAAACAGCTGGAAGTAATGTCTGGGAGGTGGGGAAGTATGTCTGAGTAACAACTTTGTTCGGTATATTTTCTGGGAGATTGTAAAAAAAGAAGGACTTGCAAAACACTCATTTATTTCTGCGTGTTGTTTGTTGTAATTTTCTCTCTTTCTCTTCTATCCTATTCCTGTTCCCTTGAATTTGACAGTTAAATGCCATGGCCAACAGAGCTGCTGGGAAGGGTTATGAGAATGAAGATAATTATGACAACATTCGCTTTAAATTTATTGGCATAGAAAACATCCATGTGATGCGGAACAGCTTGCAGAAACTCCTGGAAGGTAGGTACGGTCCGTGCCAGTGGCCAGTCTTCATTACCCTTGGCTACTTTTGGATGGAACCTTTTGCTGAATATAGGAATCCTGCGTGCACAAGTGCATGTGGACTTGGGTGTTCTGATGGAAGCAGATAAGCGAAGTCAGTCTCTTTCTTTGTTTGCTGTATTGAAGTGGCTGAAAGTATTAATGTTGTTAAAATGCTTTCCTGCTAGACATTTTATTTATTATTGTGCTTAATTTTATAGTGGTTCAAAAATAGCAACTAATACTAACAACATTCCTTAACTGTGTTAGTTACATAAAATGTGAATTTCTTAAATGTGCCAAATTAAAAGAAAAAGGCTAGAGAAATACTACATTTTACTATTAACATAGTCTCATGGTTACTTTGTGAGCTACTGAAAGAAAACTAGCATAGGTTGTTTAGTTTGGAGTATTTCAGTGTTGAACAGTATTTCTGATTTGAAATAAAATTTTAGCATGCTCTTCCAAAGACTTTAATCTCATATGTACATAGTTCTTATTTTTCATTTATTTCCGACTTCTTTAACTGAACTTGCTTTTAATACATTTTAATGTATTAAATTAATGTTTTAATACATTGAAATGTATTAAACTGCAGAGTAGCTCAGGTAATCAAGCTACTCTGAGATCATGATCTTAGGGAAAAACGCGAAGCAAGGCAGAAGAAATACTTACCTGAGCCATTGGAGTTCAAGAGGTGAATCAGGTGCATATTTTCACTAATGTGCTTTTGGAGAAGTTCCATTAAAGGTGATGGCGTAGCTTGGATCAAACCAGCATACTCAGCTAGCTGGTTTCCAGCACTGTTACCATCCTTTGCTGACAAAGACTGCGGAACGGGGCAGAGTAGATGCTGCAAATCATTCTACTTGGTCCCTGTGCTTAGTTCTCTAAAAGGTAATACAAGTGCTGCCATTCAAAATACAAGTTTAATATTTTAGTAACCAGCGTAATGGTCATCTTGCTTTAAAATAGCTGAATAATTGATACTACCAGTTGCCTGGCCAGGTGGCACTGCAGGAGCCGTGGTGACCTTGGAGAAAAATGAGGCTATTCACATGACCAAGAGATTGTCCTGATCACAAGTATAAGTCCTCAATTGCCTGTTCCTGGCAGATTTATTTTGTGGTGGAAGAAGAGGCAGAATAAATACTTGTTTACTCCCATATTCTTCTTTGACAGTGATAAAATCTCTCTCGCTGGTGCTTACGGACTATTGAACTGTATTACTATAAGTATTTTCTATGCTGAATTTGAATATAGCATCGAGTTGCCTTCAAGGTTAGACATGTTATTTCTCTCTCTAAATTAGAACTCTCCTTTCTTCAAATCTTTGTGATGGTGACTGCATGTTAGTGGTTGTTAGATGTGTGTGCGATGGTGATTTATAGTGAAGTAACAGATCACTGAACACTTCTTTGTTGGAAAAAACTCAGCTGAAAAAATGAGTTACTGTTTAAAAGAAGAGGAGGAGGATATTTTCAGATCCTCAAGTTCTCTCATAGCTAAAAATTTCTGGTTTGTGTATTTAAGTACGCAACCAGTAGTTTCTGTGTCCTTCAGACACGATATTGCTGCTGACAGTTAAAAAGTGTGGAAATCATAGAATCATTTAGGTTGGAAAAGACCTTTAAGATCATCGAGTCCAACCGTAAACCTAGCACTGCCAAGTCCACCACTAAACCATGTCCCTAATTTGGACATCTACATGTCCAGGGATGGCAACTCCACTACTTCCCTGGGTAGCCTGTTCCAATGTTTGACAACCCTTTCGGTGAAGAAATTTTTCCCAATATCCAATCTAAACCTCCCCTGGCGCAACTTGAGGCCCGTTCCTCTCGTCCTATCGCCAGTTCCTTGGGAGAAGAGACTGACTCCCCCCTCGCTACAACCTCCTTTCAGGTAGTTGTAGAGAGCGATGAGGTCTCCCCTCAGCCTCCTTTTCTCCAGGCTGAACAACCCCAGCTCCCTCAGCCGCTCCTCATCAGACTTGTTCTCCAGGCCACTCACCAGCTTCGTTGCCCTTCTCTGGACACGCTCCCACATCTCAACGTCCTTCTTGTGGTGAGGGGCCCAAAACTGAACACAGTATTCGAGGTGCGGCCTCACCAGTGCCGAGGACAGGGGCACGATCACTTCCCTGCTCCTGCTGGCCACACTATTGCTGATACAGGCCAGGATGCCCTTGGGCTTCTTGGCCGCCTGGGCACACTGCCGGCTCATGTTCAGCCGGCTGTCGACCAGCACCCCCAGGTCCTTTTCCGCCAGGCAGCTTTCCAGCCACTCTTCCCCAAGCCTGTAGCGCTGCATGGGGTTGTTGTGACCCAAGTGCAGGACCCGGCACTGAGCTTTGCTGAATCTCATACAGTTGGCCTCGGCCCATTGATCCAGCCTGTTAGCTTTTAGGATCTATTAAGCTCTGTTGCTGTGAAGAGATAATGAGGAGGTGGGAAAAAGAAACAGATGTTGTTAATGGAGCATCAGCTAATTCCTTTGTTTGTGTTCTTAGTGTGTGAAATGAAGTCCCCCTCAATGAGCGATTTCCTCACTGGGCTGGAGAACTCAGGTTGGTTACGGCACATTAAGGCTGTGATGGATGCAAGTGTCTTTCTTGCCAAGGTAAAACTGTACCCCAACCTGCAGGTGAATTAAAAAATATGTACTTGTCTGTTAGGGACTGCTCCAGGGCTGTGAAGTTGTCTCTGGAGAGAAGGTGGGAAAACATTGCTATTCAAGTTGGCCTCAGCTCTCAAAAACGAGCCTGCAGTTGGAGAATATCAAGTGGGTTACCCAGCTGGCTCTCTCCTAGACACTTCCTGTGACTAAATGAAATGCCGTAGGGGTTGAGACATTGTCCTGCTCACTGTATTGTAACAAACAGTTATCTAGGCTTTATTAGAACTCATTTGAAACAAATAAAAACACAGAATGTGTATAAATGACCTTTATAAATGCCTCTATATAATGCGTATTTAGTAGTGCAAGCAACTCATAACCTGAGCTCGTTAGTTTTTGAACTGCTCGGCCTTAAATGAGGGATTGTTTAGACCAGTTGATTTTCTCCTGGTTCTGTGTGATGTGGGGACTGCTAATCTTGATTATTCAATGCAGTCCTCATTTCTGCAGAGCTTGTGGCTTTGCAGGTCAGGCGAAAGGAGAAAAGTCACTAAGGCACATGGCTCTTCAGTAATAGTAAAGGGCATGCTGGCAACACGTGGCAAGAGTAGTGACCTTCTGTAAATGTTGTCTTTTCTCTCTTAACAATATTCCGGTGTAGCAAGCAAGAAGCTATTTTGTGTTGCTCTTCTGCCACCGGTACAAAGGGAAGAAGGTGATCTATATGGGAGGAAGTTGGGATGAGCTCTTCTAATTTTTCTTGAGAAGTTCCTAGTCCCCGTGTGTCCAATTATTATTCTTTACTCATCCACCAAATTTTTCCTCAGAGGAGGACACTGAGAATTCTTGGCCTTTCAGAAGACTGAGCATTTTGAGATCAGAGGGTCTTTGTTTCTTGACAGTCTCTGTTGCTGACAGAGCATGCTACAGCATTTTTATTCTGGTTGGGGTTTCCTATGGGTTGATGGCTGTGTGCCCAGAAATGGTGCATTTCCATAGTCCAGGTGAGAAATGACAAATTTTCCTCTTGGGTTTTAGGCCAGTCAGGTAAATGCAGATGAAGGGATAGCATTTAATTACAGTAACCAACCTAGAAAGCTGCTAAACTGTTCTGTCTGGTCTCTCCTTCACAGGCTGTGAAAGATGAAAAAGCTAGTGTGTTAGTCCACTGCTCTGATGGGTGGGATCGCACAGCGCAGGTCTGCTCCCTGGCTAGCCTCCTCTTAGATCCATTTTATAGGACTTTTAAAGGCTTCATGGTAAGAACATGTATGTTGGAATTTCAAAAATAAAAAGTGCTTCCTGGATTTGAAATGTAAACAGGCCCTACTTAAATGTTTTAGGCCATTTCCTGGAAAAATCAGTAGGTGATCTATATAAAAACAGCTTCAATTCTATAAACAAGCTTTAATTGCTCTAAGCAGCAAGGGCACAGAACAGCAGCAGTTGATTTACAGTTCCCAAATCTTTGTTTCTTGAATGTCCACGAGAGCCATTAATGAGACATTGGAGCAAGAGATGAGTGAGCAAAGGATGCAACTCTGGGAGCAATCCACAAAAAAGTGGTGAAGCAGCTTGTCGTTTAAGACTGTTACAGTGAATGGTCTCTTATCTGCTAGGATTTTAAATTGGGTGAACTGATTCTTGTGCACAGGGCAGCATATAACCTGTATATCACATAAAATCTGTGCATCATTTAAGACCTTTTTTAAAACCATTACGCATGAATTTGGCCGTTTGCTTCTACTGCAGGCTTTTTCTATTTGAAGCCATCACTGCATAAATATAGTGCAATCTGTGATGTTATCTTTCCATTCATCTCCTTTTGTTAAATACCTGAAAGACAGGCTGCCGCCTTTTCTCAGAAGAGTTCCTTAAAAGAAACCCTGAAATCAGAACAATGCAAATTTTTGCCTCCTCCGGTGTGTTGCACCGCTAGGACTGTTTCCTTGCATTCCATGCTATTATTATTATTTTTGCCCTTTGGATTATACTGCAATCTTTTAACAAGTTAAAATTACATCAGTGTGAGAAACATCTGCCTGGGCTTTGGCTGTGCTCTGGAAAATTCTGTATGAACTAAGAAACATGATTTTGATTAGGAGCAGTAACTAAAACAGACAAATGCTTGTCTGTCCTCTGAGCAAGTGATTTATATGCACAAATCCGATGACAGTGGTTATTCCTAAATGAATGCAACAGAAGCGTAAAGAATGGAAACATTTGAAAAGCAATATAACTTAAGTTTTCAAAGAACGCTATTGTGAATTTCTGCTTTCCTTTTGTTCTTTAAGTCTCTGGATGATGATATCAGGAATTGATCTTTAAATATGATCCAGCAAGGCAAGTAATAATGGATTCAGCATCAGTCATTTGGTTCCTTATGAGACGCGTTTAACAAGGAAGCAGCATTTTCCCTATTTTCTTCTATTTAGCACAGGCATTCTATTTAAAAGAGAAATAGCCATATAGTTCTTCTGATTTCATCCTGAGCTCCTCAATACACAGCTGTACTTCTTATATTCCTGTTTGTGTGTTAAACATTTGTTGAATTCCAGTTGCTGATTTATTTTGCTGAATATCACGATATTCTTTTCCAAATTAAATAGTACATAGTATAATATTAAGCTGTTAATTCTCTTAGCTCAGTGTGTTTATATATTATGATTTTAACAACATAGAAACTCTCTCAAAATAGTACTAGACTTGCTTGAAATAACTTATGATTCCAACAGTGACATTGTACTGGTAACTGTGGATAATCTATAAATCACTATTACTGTTTTCGTTAACTTCTATGGATATACTCATAACTAGGGTCAGTAGGTAGCGTTGGTTGTAAGCTTTTTAGAGTTTAACATAAAAAGCTTCATTTTGCTTTTTCTAAACAAAGTAATGCTCTTTTTTAACCTCTGTTTTGAAACTGAAGGTTCTAATAGAAAAGGAGTGGATTGCAATGGGCCACAAGTTCTCACACAGGTAAGAGCAGCATGTTATCTTGGGTGTAGTGGCTGGGTGAAGGCTTGTCTGTGAAACTAATACAGTGTTTTCAGGTTCATGTACTCCCGTGAAAAATTTAAATGAAAATACAGGACAGGGGAGAGAAGATTTGGAAAATACTGGAGTTGGTCACATAAAGTCAGTGTGTGCTAGGGTTGTTATTTCATCAGTGCTGAATCATACAGTCTTGAAAAAATTGATTGAATTGTGAGCGGTTTCCTACCTGTAGAATGACATTCGTATTATATGAGGAGCGCTAATGTTCTGGCAAGACATGTTAATTCTCCTGCAGTCATCTCCTGCAGTCAGCTCATGGTTTTCAGGACTCTTACCAAGTTCAAAGCATAAACTTGAGCCCAATATATATTCGTATTGTATGAGGAGTGCTAATGTTAACATGTCTTGCCAGAATTCTCCTGCAGTCATCTCCTGCAGTCAGCTCATGGTTTTCAGGACTCTTACCAAGTTCAAAGCATAAACTTGAGCCCAATATATAGTGCTAAAAACCAATTTGACCTGCATTCTCTAGGCATGTTAAAAATGCTGTCATCCCTGTAATAGATAGCCTGCATCTAGTGGGGATATTGCCTTGGATTACTTCTTGTTATATTTACCATATAGAAGTTAGAAACTGAGATGGTCCAAAAGAATACAAGGAGGGAAGGGACGGGTCTATTCAGTGATATTAGTTCGTTAAGAATTGAAGCTTTGTTCTCGATGTGAAACTGATTCCTGTTTTTAAGAATAAAACAAATCTGTTTCCTTAAAGCATATTTGGGGAAAATAAACAATACGCACACCCTTATACTGGTATATGAGAAGAAGCAGTCAAAGATAAACTGCTGTTTGGTCATTATTGGCCAAATAAATGTTCTGTGGTCATTGTTTCTGCTTCTTTACGGACGCTTTTCACCTTTCCTTAAGACCAAAAAAACCTTCCTATTCTCCTATTATAAAGGATTGTTCCAAATATGAGAACTTGGCAATGGATACAAAAAGTACTTGAGACATGAATTTCAGCATTGACTGGAATATGAACTTCTATTCCAGTAGACAAAATCATTCTTCTCGTAGTGGTGGCCAGTGCCTTACAGTTCTGAGGGAAATCAGTCCTTCGTCGTGCTGCTGCTTAGGGTAGTGTGGTTGGAATGACAGAACCAGGAACTCGGATTTGATCAGCTAGATCTGTCATAAGAAATCGTACTTCGTTTTTCCACTTAAGTTTGGGGATGCCTTGTTCCTTTCTGTGGATTTCCAGGTTATATCCCTTCCTAGAAAAGGAGGATTCTGCCCCAAGTTTTTTCTCTTAAGAAAGAACAGTCATTACAGTACAATAGAGTGTTGGCTGCTTTCCAAAAATGCTAACATTCCTTTTCTGGTTGTTTTTTCTTTTGTGATGGATTGTAATGAACACCGATAGATCCCTGGCTAGCTTTTTGCAGAACTAGGAGGGTTTTTCTGAACTTCATCTAAAGCTGTAAAAGTATTTTTTTATTGTTGTTTTGGGATTTTCTTTGTTTGAGGGTTGGTTTGTTTTTTTTTTTCTTTCTGAGTAATTGCTTACTAGGATTTCATTCTTGATGTCCGTGTGGAGCAAAATCAGGTTGTTCTGACTGTTGCTGCCCGTGTGGCTATTCCTGCACCATCAAATACTCTCGCATCCATAGAAGATTACATAGAGGACACTTTGTCCCCCCAGTGTTCTTACTGTTCGTGGCAGACAGACAGAATCCCACCAATGTCAACTTTTTTCCCCCAATTAAGAGCTAGCATTAGATTGTTATATTCGAGCAATAGATGTTTCTTTGGAGAATATTGCCTTTTTTCCCTTGTGCTGACATCATAGCATAGGCTCAAGGATTCCTATTTCACAAATACTTCTTGTGATGCTTGCAAGTCTGTTACGTAGGCTCTTCCATTGCTAATTTTACTTTAGAGAAAGGGACACTGCACAATTCTCGTCACTCCTACCAGGTACCCCTGGAGAACAAGTAATGCTGAGGGTGGCATGCCGTAATGTACAGTAGCTGTAAGATAAACCACGTGGGGGTTTTTTCTGACTCTGCAGAACTATTTCTTACGCTAGTAGTGAAGAAAGCTTCCCAGTTGGTTAATGGCGAGGGGATTCTTTTTTTGCTGGGTGACACAGGATTTAACCCTGTTTCGTTTGCATCTCTCTAGGTGTGGCCATTTGGATGGTGACCCCAAAGAAGTATCCCCTGTCTTCACTCAGTTCGTTGAATGTGTCTGGCAGCTCATGCAGCAGTTCCCGTGCACGTTTGAGTTTAATGAGCGTTTCCTTCTTGAAATCCATGACCATGTCTACTCCTGCCAGTTTGGCAACTTCCTTGGGACCTGTCATAAGGAGCGTGAGGATCTGAAGTGAGTTGGCAGTTTACGGAGCCAGCAGTCTAGAAGTCACTTTAAATGCTGGGAAAAGAGCAGGTGTTTGCTTGTGTGTTTTTAACGTAATTGTAGATTGGTTAAGGGTAACGTTGTCTTGATAGATGCTTGTGTTCTACAGTGTGGGGAAAAAAAAACCCAACATTATATCCCCAAGTCAGATGTTTTATTTTGGACCACAGTAATAACTTGCAGATACGCCTTTTGGACTAGATAGTGTCCATTTTAAATGATTATGTATTCCTCAGTGATGTATCTTGTGTTTATGAAATTAAGCAGATACCGTGTAAAAATAATTCTTAGCTCCCTTAATCTAATTCTACTCAGAACAGCTAGCGTTATTAATCCACTTAACCTGATTCTTTTTTTTTAGTGATTAGATGTTATTTGTAATTGACAGAATCTGTGAGAAGACGCATTCTCTGTGGCCTTTCCTCTTACAGAAGAAGCAGGAATTGAGAAATCCTTTGTACAGAGGATTTACAGCTTACAAAGAGCTTCAACCAAACACACTACCGTTCTGTTTCCAGTAAGTTGCTTATTTGAGAAGGGGAAGAAGGGGGGGCATTTCTTTCATTGTGATGTAGATTGGTAATTCAGGTTTAATAAAATAAATTTTCACTGATTAGCATGGTTTGTTTTACCTTTCCCTCCATTCCTCATTCATAAACTGAGAGTAGTAGTGCACAGGTAATTGCTAAGTAAGTGCAGGTACTGTAATTTAAAATAATATTTTTTCTTTGGTGTTGAGAGAGAGGGTGGGGAAAGCAAGGAAAAGAAGAACTTCAGATGTGTAGATAGACCCCACACACACACCCTGACTGCTTGCTCTGTCAAATTTACGTGATGGGGTAGGCAATTGTTAAAGTTCCTCCTTTTTAATATATATTAAGGAAGTCTTTCAAACAGGAATTTCAGTGCCCAGTCACACCCAGGCTTATGCAGTCAGGGTGGTTTTCACAAGAAGGGATTTCTTGTTGCCGTGTCTATTTGCTTGCCCAGGGTGTTACAGCTGAAGTGGTTAGTTTTCCTTCGTTTCTGGCTCACTCCTGTTCCCTGCTGAGAGAGAGAGGGTTGCAAATATGTTTTTAAGTGCTGTGAGTGGTCACTGACGGGCAAAGGGTTTTAATGAAAGTAGGGCGGTAGGGCAGACTGGGGACTTGAAGGTGAACTGCCCATCCTCCAGTGAGTCTGCTATAGAAAAAAGTGTATTTTCATCTTATGTTAATACCTGCTGCCAGTGCATGTGGATCATAAGGCAAAAGTACTTAAATCCTCAGAAGTTTTTTTTTAACTTTATGAAAATTTGCCCATTGATACTGAATTTTATGATCCAAGGCTGTGGCGGTTTTTAAAAAATTAATTACTAATCTCAATTTGTTGAATTTTTTTTTTCTTAAACAGCATCTAGTTTGTTGGCCAGTAGCATACAATTGGCTGCCTAATTCTCTTTTCCTGCCCTGTTCTTCAGGTTTTGGTGTGGGATGTATAACCGCTTCGACAAAGGAATGCATCCAAAACAGTGTGTATTGGATCATCTGCTAAGCTGCGTGAGCCAAAAGATGAAACTGGAGGACAATGCATCTGAACTGGAAAATGTGAGTCCTGAATCTTAATAATATTTGAAGTCACATGGTGGTTTTGGCAAATATAACTGGGATCGAACACTGGCACTGAACAATTGTTTCAACATGCTGGGCAGAGTGAGGTGTTAAATGACATTGCTGTAATAAATAGGTTTGACTACCCAAAATTCTCATCTGCTAGATAAAAGCTGTGTTTCGTCAAGTTCAGTTGCAGGCTCGTGATGTTCTAATTCTCTAAATGAAGCAGGTGTTAAAAGAACATCTGGGTTTCAAATCCACTCGCAGCAAACTTCAAGGGAGAGAGGAAAAGAATGGGCCTGCTTTTCCCCCTCCACATAAATAATGTGCATATACAAAAATATTCTTGTTTTCAGCTCGCCCCCACATTTTTCTTTCCCGCCTTCTCATTCACAAGACACATTGGAAGAACTGATGATCAACCGGGTATTAAAACAGTTGAGTTACTTTATGGCCAAAATGTAACTGGATCGTGTAGGCCGAATTATGCTCTGGAAGTGTCTACCTCGGATTTGAAGTGCTTTGCTAAAACAAGACAGGGAATCTTGCACATTTACTACTTGTGTTCTGTGGTATTGGAGGGCAGAGATCTTGTGTCCAGAATAACCAATTTATCTCCTTCAGTTGAGAATAATAAAGTAAACGGCAACACGCTTCACGGTTTGGTCAGTTCTGATCACATTCCCCAGAGAGCTATATTTGTCTATACAAAGATGTAGATATCTATCTCAGCAGTGCAAGACGAGGAAAAAAAAAAGTAGATAGTCTTGTTAGCTTTTGAAGTGCTGTAGTTTTGTGTTTCCATATGTATTGGGTCTGGCTGAGATGGAGTGAACTTTCCCCGCAGCAGCCCCCGTAGTGCTGTGCCGCGTATTGGTAGCTAGAAAGGTGTTGGTAACACACCAGTGTTTTGGCTACTGCTGAGCAGCGCTCCACAGCATCAGGGCTGTCTCTCCAATGTTCCCCCCCTCACCCCGTAGGCTGGGGGTGGGCAAGATCTTGGGAGGGGACACAGCCGGGACAGTTGACCCCAGCTGACCCAAGGGATATTCCACACCATATGATGTCATGCTCAGCAATAAAAGCTAAGAGAAAGGAGGCGGGGGGGGCATTTGTTATTATGACATTTGTCTTCTGGAGCAACTGGTACGCATACTGAAGCCCTTCTTCCTGGGAAGTGGCTGGACATCGCCTGCTGATGGGAAGTAGAGAATAATCTTTCGTTTTCCTTTGCTTCCGCACATGGCCTTTGCTTTTGCTTTATTAAACTGCCTTTATCTTGACCCACGAGGTTGGGGTTCTTTTTTCCCCATCTCATTTTTTCTGCCCCCCCGCCCCACCAAGGAGGGGAGTGATAGAGCAGCTTGGTGGGCGCCTGGTGTCCAGCCAGGGTCAACCCACCACAGTCCTGTACGGCTGCCTGACAGGAGAAGTGTGGCTTTCCTTTGTGCTCAAGGCTCTATTGCAATATCCTTTCTATGCATATTTAAAAAAAAAAAACCAAACCCATAAACAAACCGAAACACCACCTAAAAATATAGTGGGAGAGTCATCTAAAAATATACCAGTGAGAAGACCTGTCAGTGTCCTTTGTAGGTTAATGTGAATGCTGCAAACTTCAGTTTTATAATTAAACAATGATGTTTGTGTCACACATGTAAGGATCTATGCTCATACGCTTTAATGCTGAATTACAGAGCTGAAAAAGAGGCCCTGACCCAGGACTATTATGTTGACAGTTGTTTTTTGTATGTTCCTGACATCTGGGAATAATAGCTTTCATTAATTTTTTTAATGTCTTTTTATTTGTGTAGAAACTTCCTTTCCTTGATGGTCCTTTGCCCAGTGAAGCTTGCTCCTTATCTAAAGTAGGACGTGCTGCTTCAAAAACACCGATGCTCAACACTCCTCAGGATTATGAAGGGGAACCACCTCCTGTGTTGAGCAACGGCACCTCAGCAGGGGATATAGATGTTACGTCAGATGTGGACCAAAAGTACAAAGAGAACCTGTCTCATCACCGGGACCTCCGTGATCTTAATGACGCCATTGACGTTTTGGACTCCGAAGCTAAGGATGGAAAGCCTCAGCACCACTGATCAGCTCAGAGAACTGTGTTCAATGAACCAGGCGCTTGTGGTGGTGAGGCATAAGGGAGCTGTGCCCCCCGCGAGGGTGTAGACCACCTGACCGTTTGCAGCTAAGTGTTAGTACGTGTGTTTGCAGGGAGCTGTGCTCGCTGTAGAGAAGCAGTCTGCATTTGGCTTGGTTCGCACCGTTTTGCAGCCGACATGATGAAGATGCGTAGAGCTGCCCAGGAGGCTACCTTGAGTTAGTGTAAACCTTATTTTTCAGTGGAAACACGAGGTGTGTTTAAGGTTTATGACTGCCTGCCAGTACTGGTATTTCAAGCTGAAAGAAGTCTTGGCCAATTAACGTGGGGCTTAGGAGTTGTGCAGTGTTTATAAATGGAGTAGGAAAGATGCAATCCATTTATTCTTGGTGGTCGTGCAAGGTCATCTTAAAATGATAAAAAATGTCAGTTCCTCCTAAAATGATAAAAAAAAATTAACCTTTTCTTAGCTGTGAATGACTCTCTGCATGGACCCTCACCTTGTGGCAGAACTGATTCATTTTTCGTTTCCTATGCATATTTGATAAACAAAACCAAACCCCCCTGTGCCTTTTTATGGAGACCGTTTTAATGTCTAGCCACGCAGTGTACTATTTTTATTATTGTAGTGTAGAGTGGAGTATTTGGTCGTCTTTGTAGTCAGTATTTTTAAACAAGGTTTTTTATCTGCTGCTGGCTTCTCCAGGATCTTTGCCGATCCCCTGAGTTTAGTAGCTTCTTTCTAAGCCGAGCTTTCAAAGAATAAGCTTTTATGGACCTCATTTACTGATTGTGAGAGTGCAGCAAGCCACAAAGACAGCCTGTAACACGTGAATTTTTGACAGAGGGAGGATTAGAAATGAGAAAAGATAGGAAAAAAATTATATGGAATTCTTCTTTCTTGTTTTATGATCTTGGTTAAATTGAAGCAAGAGAGTAACTCTTTGTTCTAAGCTGGAATCGATGTGCTTTCCTCGCATCCATCGATGAGGCAGTAATTACAGATGAGGTGTGTTCTGTTATTGAAATGGGGCCTAAAATGATTTCTTCACATCACATGCTGAGTGGTTATAGTGAATGTCATCTTGGATGTTAAAATTACATGAAGCCTAGAGATGTTTTGTCTGTACTGTCAAGATGTGGGGAGATGAACAGTATCTCTCATGGCAATGAACTTTGTAATTCTGTGAAGCTGGTGACAAGATGTAAATTGGGATGTGACCCCTTATTGGAACAAGAAGTGGACGTCTTGGCTTGTGGCGGTGACTCCAGCTTGGATTCACTCCAGTGCTTGTTAACACTACTTGGTTTCTTTAAACTGCAGTAATCTCGGCTAGAGATACTAGTTCAAAGTTGCAGGTTTAAAACAGAGACGTGTATTCCATTTATACAGAAGTCTTGTGAAGAAACAAGGGCTTGTCTCCCCAGGGAAATGGATGGCCCAGGAAAGCTGTTCCACAGTACTTGTTCTGGACAAGCTTCTGTAGAAGTGCTTAATTGCACAGAGAGTCCCATTGTGCAGCTTAATTGAAGATGCTTTTCTGCTTTATTTTGGATCCTGTTGTTTAAATTGGATGCTGCCATTAGGTCTTAAAATCAGTTTTTCTCTTTTATAAAATTTTGAAACAAACTGAAAACATTTTCTAAGTTAGCCCTCCCAATCTACAATAAAAAGTAGAAACATTCCACTATACCATCGTAAAATTCAATAGCCATTGTTCATATGCTTATAACCTATGGTGAAATGGCTGGGTTAGTTTCAGTGTTCAAGATAAAGTAGAAAAGAAAAAAAACAAAACTCTCCTGAGTGTCTCACTTTGGGTAAGAAAATATATATTTTAAGCATATAAGAAGACCCAAGGAAAAAGGGCAATACCTGAGAACACAGAGTTTCTTCAATGCCTAGAATGGCAAAGAGAAACTTTTTTTAATGTTGCAGGTTTTTCAATCTTAAAGCAAGTAATATAGTTGTTTTCAAGGTAGGAGTGAGAGAACTACAATGTGCGATTGGTTTAAAACTAAGCACATAAAATACTGAACCAGATGTGCTTAAGCGGATGATGTTCGAAATTTGTTGTGTGGGTACCTATCAAAAATACTGCATCGTGCAACAGCTGTGTATTTTATTTTGAAGGATGCACATTTCTGAGTGCATCTTTTCTTAATCTCAAGATGAGTATCTGCTGTTGAGTCTCTTTGCTTGTAAAAAGAGATCTGCTAAGCTCCTAACGTTAAGTTAGATAGTCTACCAGCCTTTTAAGTTTGCCATATCCACGTACTCCTCAAGCAAAGAGATTGCACCCCAAGTCTTAATCCGGCTGCTCTGGATACCCAGGGATCAGAGCCTGCTGTAGATTCCCACTGGAGGGCGCTGGGGAGACTATTCCCCTTTGCCTCTTTACAGTGTAAAAAGTCAGTTTCACATGTGCAGTTTGGAACCTGTTTCATAGGGGCTGATAGATCAACCCTGTCTTTTCTTTCTGAATGGTAGAAGAGTGTAGTGGATAGCATGCACGGCTTCTTAGAGAGCTCTAAAATGGTAAATGAGACCAAGACAGGCACTTTTTAGGACCAGTTATTCTAGATGTCATCAGTTCTTTTAACGTGTTCTCTAATGAGAATTAGAGATACAGAATTGTAGAGAATTTTGACTGAGCACTGAAGGATTTAGACATACCATTGGTTAATCTTTGTATAGAAACCACCTGCGAAATGTTTTTATAAATATTTACACATTGCCCTGTCTTTTGAATTACCGTGGATTACCTTGCAAAAAGTATAATAATCTTTGCTTATCCCTAAAACATGAAGCTGACATCTCCACAAATCCTTCTTGACTACAATATTACTACAGGTGCACGTAACCATGAAAAGATGACTTCATACACTGAAAGTGTTAGTAAGCTTTTAGTAATCTTGCTGCTTTTGACTTCAGTAACAAAACAATGGATGACTTCATACTCTGACATGCAAAACCTAGCCAAAAAAAAAGGGCAATGGTCTGTCTTTTTAAACCTCTTGGATTTAATGTATACAGACTTGGTCAAAGTCTACAACGTATTAAAAATCATTCACGCTGGTGCTGTAAATTTATGGAGCTGGAAAAGATACCAGGGTTTCCTGGCTTTCCATGAGATTTTGTTTGAAAACCAATTAGCTAGAAGCTTTTTAGTTTTGACAGTAACTCTTGTGTATTTCAAGACCAAAAATGAAAAGCTGTTCAGAGCGCTGCAGCGTGTCCTCAGGTCTCTGGCCAGCTAGGACTGGCTTCCCAGAGCCTTGCAGAAAGCCTGCGTTCACTCATTGCGGAGTGCCCTGCTGACAGTGGTGAGTGACTTGATTTGTACGTTCCCTGAAAGTGTTAAAGGAAATCTAAAAGCTGTTACTTAGGAATCTTCTCGCAAGTGAAAAGTGACTGTAACTTAGGTATTCCTAGTGGACCATCCATGTCTTGTGAAGTCACGAATAGTGTTTTTTATTTGGAGCTGTTAACTGAACAATGCAACTTGCTGCTTTCCATTTTGATTCCTCTGACTGGGAGAGCTGGGAGGAAGGAGGGATCCTGTTTGCTGCGGATGGGCTCTGTTTGTGTAAAACTCTTCCTTTTCTGGAGCACCTCTTCCTTTACCAAGATACTCCATGGTGTCATGGTTTCATGCCTGAACATAGTCTCTCTCTTGCCACAAATAGGTATAGCATTGCAATGGGCAAGTGCCTATAATATTCTGCGTTAAAGCTACTGCTTTGTAGTAGAAGAGGGGCTCGTGTAGCTTTATTTCTTGGTTGAAATGTCTTAATGTGAACTTCACAATGCTGGATTCTTAAATTGTATTTTGTTTTGCAGTTGTCACCTATGGTAGAGCAAATCCAGTCAGTGCTCTTTGCTTTACAGAAAAAAAAAAGGGAATAATTGGTTTGCCCATAGATGATGTAGTTCTCAGCTGGCCCTCTTTCATGGGAGAGAAAATGCAGTTTTTTAAAGCTTATAGGCATAATATACTTCTAGGCGCATATTCTGTTCCTGCTCTTAGTGAATGCCTTTCATTCAAGTGCTTAGAAGAAAAATCCACCTGCTACGTGGGTGCTCACTGGTACATGAAGCTACCCTGACTAGGATGGAGAAGGAGACTCGCTTGTAGGTGGCTGGTAAGCTTCGGTTGCTTCGGTAAGCTTCTCAAGTCCTGGTGAGCGAGAGTTGCTGGGAGCTGAAGGTGCGCAGAGCTTCGCAGGATCTCTGCCTTGAGTTAGATCTTGTTGGGTTAGAGGTGGAAATCTCCATGTTGAAGTGCCCCGTGTCATTTCCATCGGGTTTGGAGATGGTGAGCCCTAACAGGCACTCAGAAAGCCCCCTTGCATCGAACAAAGCTGTAGCACCTGCAGGGAAAGCATTTAACAGAGCTCTTGTGCCAGATGCTGCTTCAGTTGACTTTCTGGTCAACGGGTAGCTTCGGTGCCTGACGGTTGCTCCCCCAAAGGGATCATTTCTTGGCACTGTTTAGTAATGAATATTTGCGAGTGACCAGGAGAATTCAAAATGCGTCCGCTGTTGTGCTCTTCTCCCCTTCCCCACCACTCTGCGCTGAGTGCTGGCATCATTTTTTCTACGGACCTAACACAGTTACTCCCTGTTTACGTACTGTCCCTCCTGCGCATATAGGCACTTCCCATGCCTCGGGGCGGAGTGGGGGGGAAGAATCTGTTCTGAATGTAGTAGGTTTTGTTTTAGTTAATACAGAGCACTTGATTAATTAGATGAGGAATGTCTCAAACCAGGTGATGTTAAAGTCCATGTTTTCGTAAGCATCTTTAGCACTAAGAGCAGCCAGGTCGGTGCCAATTGCAGTCGGTGTAATTTGTTAGGACAAGTATTTTAACGTACAGCACTGTGTCCTTTTGGCATCTCTGAATTACAAAAGCAATGCAGAAAGAGGGTAGGTTAAAATGGTTGACCTATATCTCTTCTCGTATCATTTATCTATGTCTATGCGTCTGTATTTAATGTAGCAGCATACTACTGGAATAACTTGTAGCACTGGATCTAGTCACGTGTAACTGAGCACACATATGTACTTTTCCTATCGTCCACCAACTGATCTTTGTAGGAACGTACCTAAAATTGTGTGTAGTACTCAGCTGAAAATTGTAAATGTTTTTGCTGTTTCTGTAAGTCAGTCGCTATTTTTGTCAGTGTAACTGTCGAGGGACGGTTGTACAAAATTGTGGATGATGAAATCCCATATTCTTGAATGTTCTGCGATGGCTGTATACATGTAAGTCATTTTAGTTAATGCACTGCTTTAAAAAAAAAAAATTGCACCATGTTTAGACGAGCACTGTGTCTTTTTTTTCTCTAAATGTGTTTGTTCCATGAAGTTTCACTTGTATTACACTTTATTTTTATTCCCTGCAAAAATAAATACCTTGCCTTTTTAGAGTAAGTGACTAGTCTGTTTATTGGTTAATTAAACTCAAAGCAGAACTTCACACTTTGAAAGGTGAAGTCAATTAAAGACCCTTAAGTAGTGAGCTTATCTTAAAGTGAGCGTGATTCCACCTGCCCTTCTTCTACAGAATAGCAGCTGGTTTCAGAGGGACTGCTGAGCGCAGCACTGCTCAGTGTCTTTAAAACAAACGAAAGAAAAGTAATAATACTAATGTAGCTGTACTGAATCTTAGTACCTTCTGTACATTTTGTTACTCCGATTTTTTTTTTCTTTTTTAAATTAGATTTTTCTCTATATATTAAAACCAAATACCTTTTCAGGGTTTTCTTCCTCCTGGAAAGCTGTCTATCCCTCGCCCACGGATAAGTCTGTCTGCAGGTGGCTCCAGACTGACTTAAAAAGCTTTCTGAGAAGCAGCTAGACCTTTCTTCTGGCCTGCCGTAAGGAATTGAGCCTGACCTTGTGGGCGTTGCGTGGTACCAGGTGAAGAGATCTCTTCTGATAGCTTTGAGTGAAGAATCTGCAGTCCATCTGCTGACGGTATCATTTAAAAAAAGCTCTTTTATCCAATTCTTTTTAATCATAACTTCAGTAGTGAGTCAAGGTGGGGGTTTTTTTGAGCGCAGGTAAACGCAAGTGAGGTGGGAGCATGCTCAAGGAAGAAGGAGACTGGAGTGCAAAACTTGCCTCATGTTTACAACCAAGATTGGGATCGGTGCTTTAATAACTTACAGCTGTGCAGGAACAGTCAAATCCTACAATTAAATATAGATCTGCAAAGCAGGGAGAAAGTGGGTGATACGAGCTAATTTGATGTTTATAAGGCTTTACAAAATGCTTCAGGATGCCGTTTGGATTGGTAAATGCATGTAAATGGTTTAAATCTGTGCCTGGCAAAGCAACGTATGCTATTTTAGTAATTATTTTAAAAACAAGCGTTTGGAGGTTTTTAATACCCTGTGTGGGAGGTGGGGGAGCGACAGGGATGTGACTTGCAGAAGAACGTGCTGCAGGTCAGCAGGAGAGACGGAAGAACCCTTTTCCCCAGGTCGGTTGAGCGCCAGACCGTTCAGCCTTCGACCCTAAATACGACTGGCCCTGAACTATCCGCCGTCAGTCGGGGCAGGGGTAAGGCTGTGAACACAAGGCATAGACCCGATACCTCTTAGCCAGCCCCGATGAGTATTTCCCGCTGCACCGCGCGTCCTGAAAATGGGTGTTTCTTTTCTATGTATTAAGGCAAAAAATGCGCCTGACGCTTGGGTATACTCAGTCCCCAGATGTTTCAAAGTGGTTTTTTTCCTTCTTGCTAATGTTCTTAATGTTGCCAGTGAAATCCTTCATTTACCTAAATTAGACTTGCCTTGCATTTAATTGGATTATTAGCATTTAATTGGATTATTAGCATTACACTGACTAGAATTGAAATCCGTTTACACAGGCTTTGGGGAAAACTTATTGTCCGTTTGACAGCGTCTTTGCTGAGGATGATTTAAAACTTCCCTATTGAAGCTAACTTTAGCTCTGAGGGGGCAGGTTCCATTTAGAATCGTCGTAGGAGTATTGCTGAAGACTTAGGTTTTTGACAGCTCTCAGGAAATACCTTATGCTGAGTAAAAATACTGATCAGTAAACTTAATTGGAGGTATGTACTGAAAAAGCACTGTTTTAAGGTCGAGTCTGCTCTTCTAAGTTCAGAGAGAAAAAGCAGTGAAGTTAACCCGCTTTCTTGTTGAGGTTCAGGTTCGTATGTGCCAAGGATACCTTAAAATGTTGATTGACTTTCATTCTGCGTCGGTGCGTTCTTTGTTGCAGTAGAGCAATAATAGTTGATTTTGTCGGTAGCAGTGTAACTTTGTGCTCAAGTTTTATTCAGTTCAGTTACCCAGCAGGTAAAGATGCCGGTGATGATTTGCTAGAGATATATCGGTGTTAAGGCTTCATGCATATATATAAAATGGATAAACTCCTCTG